CCCCCCCCGTTAGATCTTCTTCGCTCTGCCTTCTCGGCAACATCTTCTTTTTGCCTTACACGCTGTTCTCTATATGTATGGTTCTTTTTATCAGAACCTCAAGAAACACGCCGACTATCCGAAACTTCCGTTTGCCTAAAAACCTTCATCAATAACTATCTAAAATAGACTAGAAACTTTCTCCTGAGCACAACTATGTCCTTCCTACGTCGCCTTACTCTCTCACTACCACAATTCCCATAAATCGGTAATCTTAACACTCTCGACATCGCGCCATCTAGCGGAGAAATATATATAGAGAAGATATAATAACGTTAGCGTTGATAGCGCGCTCCTCTAACGCACTTCAATGGCTAAAAAATAAATATATTGAAAGAATTATACGTATAATATTTTGTACAAAGCACCACAAAAAATATATTATTATAATTATTATATTATTATATTATTATAATTATATTATTATATTTTTATATTATTATGTGACGATCCGGAAAGCGTCACGACATTAAAAGCAATAACTATAAGACTAACAAAAGAACGCCGAACAACCGCGCGCGGGATAACCGCAAGGTCAAACAAACAGTCGCGCTGTTTGTTATAATTTTGTATAAAAGCCGACAGAAAATTGACATAGGGAGAGATCGATCGGAAAGCTCCTTTCAGGCGCACGACCGACCAGAACTCAAAACTCCTAGAGATCCTAGACATTCCGTCGACCGAAGTGGATACGCGACGTCGACATCCTTTCCTCAATACCGCTCTACCGACCGAAGTGGATGCGCGACGTCGGTTTCCTATCCATATATCGCTCCGTCGACTGAAGTGGATACGCGACGTTGACATCCTCTCTCCGATACCGCTCTACCGACCGAAGTGGATACGCGACGTCGGTTTCCTATCCGCACACCGCACCGTCGACCGAAGTGGATACGCGACGTCGACATCCTTTCCTCCTCGCGCTACGCCGCTAACATCTACGATTGCGAACGCATACAGGACGTAAGATAACGGTGACAACGAGCGCTTTTAAACCAGCCAGGAAAAACCAGGATAGATAAACAGATTAAAGCCGATGAGGCAACGAACTCCGAACGACGAACAATAGCGTATCAGGAAACAATCCCGACCGCGTCCCGCCGGACGCTCGCGCGCCTCGACGCTCGCAGCTGATCGCGAGACGACAACAACGGCTCCCGACGAGAGCAAAAACGCGACCACGCGCCAACGGCGTAACGTCGCCTGTAAATACTTGTAAATAGCTTCGAAATTAGAATATAGTTCCACATTATTATAAGCTATACCACTGGTTTTCATTTCACCAACGAAACCCGGACCACATCGGCTCAGACTATCCCGCACGTAA